CGGGTCTCCCATGGCCTCGAAGCCGCACAGAGCTGGTACCAGGGAGGGTGCAGAGCAGTGCTGCTGCCTCTGCCGCTGACTCAGTCACCCGGCCCAGCACGGAGCGTGACCTTGGGAAGCGAGGACAAAGGGTCTTCCCGGACGCACTGACCGGGCGGGGGCGGGGGGTTTCGTCTCAGCTTTCAGTCATGGCCGCCGGTAACGCGCACATCGGAAAGCCAGCCCCGGACTTCCAGGCCACCGCCGTGGTGGATGGCGCCTTCAAGGAGGTGAAGCTTTCTGACTACAGAGGTAAGGGCGGCCTGGAGAGGACTCGAGTGGGGGCGGGGTCCTGGCATTCGAGGTGCGGGGCCCTCACACCCGGTTTGTTCCCGCCTCCTTCCCCAGGGAAATACGTGGTGCTCTTTTTCTACCCGTTGGACTTCACTTTTGTGTGCCCTACGGAGATTATCGCTTTCAGCGAGCATGCCGAGGATTTCCGCAAGCTGGGCTGCGAGGTGCTGGGGGTCTCTGTCGACTCTCAGTTCACCCACCTGGCTTGGTATTAGCAGGGACCAGCAGGGAGGGAGGGCGAAGCTGGGCCTAAACCTCTACAAGGTCCGAGCTGTTTGTGTTCAGCCTCTGTGCCTCTTTTCTCATCTTGAAAATATGGAAATAATGGCTCCTAAATCCTTAAGGATAATGACAGTAATTAGCGTTTGGAAACTAGTTGCTTGGTGAGGAGTTACAAATGCTTTATCTCACTTAGGGCAAAGCAGTCTTCCTCCCAAGAACTATTTCAAGAAGGTGGCAACTCCAGTTCAAGGGAGTGAAGGGCTGGGTCTCAGGACACAGGAGGATGGGGACTCTGTCCCAAGATGCCAGAGGCTGCCAGCATATGTGAAGCCACTTTGCTGGAATAGGCAAGCTGGCTTAGTATTCCCAGCTATGGGAAACAGCCTGCACACCCACTTCAGGGCGGGGTGGGTGGGACTCCCAGGGCCTTGCTCTAAAGCCCCTTATCTCTTGCCTCCAGCACCCCCTCTCCAGCCCTTATCACACCCAGGCCCACAGGGTGAGGACCCTGCTATGCCAGGCATTCTGAGGTCCCAACCCTGTCTCCTGCACCCCTAGGATTAACACCCCCCGGAAGGAGGGAGGCTTGGGCCCCCTGAACATCCCCCTGCTGGCGGATATAACCAGAAGCTTGTCCAACGATTATGGCGTGCTGAAGAAAGACGAAGGCATTGCCTACAGGTACTGTGGGGTCCTCAGGGGACACCCATCCTCAAGATGAGGGGACCATTCTTGGGCAATGCCCTCCCTTCCCCTAGCCCTGTGGCTGGCAGGGAGATGGTGCTCCTTTCCCTTGCCCTGCCAGTGGGAGCTCCCAGCTCCTTACCATGAACCCTGATATCTTCAGAGGCCTCTTTATCATCGATGGCAAGGGTGTCCTTCGCCAGATCACCATCAATGATTTGCCTGTGGGGCGCTCCGTGGACGAGGCTCTGAGGCTGGTCCAGGCCTTCCAGTACACAGATGAGCATGGGGAAGGTGAGTGAACACACATTCACATGTGTTCACACATGAGTAGGTATGCAGCTTCTCTCTAGTCACTCGTGCACATTCACTGCGTGCTCTATCACCTGTGTGACATGGATATGAGGACCCCAAAGAAGATTTGGTTCAGGGCCTTGTCTGCAGAAGTTTCTAGTCTGGTGGGAGAGATATCCCAACACAAGGATGGGGAATTAGGAGGTAATAAAGTTCTACAGAGAAGGTATTTGAGAAGGTGTGTGTCAAGGTAGGCTTGAATAATTTTAGTGCCTTCTTGGGTGGTGGGCACAGCCTGACTAGTTTCGCAAAGTCCAGTAGGGCTGGGGCTGAGAAAGATGGGGCTAAAGGGGCCAAAATATATAAATATGTCGACCACAAAATCTTGCACCTGGGCTTAGGGGCTTCTGTTAACAGAGGGTGTGGTCTTGGGCCTTGGTTTTTGTTCTGCAACTCGGACTCCTGCTTTGCCTCTCACTACTGCCCTAACTTGAATATTTGGGCTGTAGCCTCACCTGTGCATCCTTGTGTCTTCTCACAGTCTGTCCCGCTGGCTGGAAGCCAGGCAGTGACACAATCAAGCCCAACGTGGAAGACAGCAAGGAATACTTCTCCAAACACAACTAGACTGGCAGACAGGCACCAAGCTTGGGCTCTTGGCCCCAACCTGTGCCCCCACCTGGGTGCCTTGTGCTAGCCCAGGAAAGGCCAGACCTGCCCCTTCACATTCCACCGTCTGTGATCCTAGAGGGCTAGGCCAAGGCCTTTTCATGTTCCTGGCTGAGTAGTAATGGTGACACCCCCCTTCCCCCTGCTCCCTGTAGCCCACCTAACGGGGCACAGGCTAGAAGTGACCAATAAAGTATTAGGGACAGATATGAGCCCGTGTTGGTGTGGTCTGTCCTGGTGTCTCCACACCCTTCCTTTCCTACAGGCTCTGGCCTGGGGAACTGACACTGTAGTTACTTATCTTCACCACAAGGTGGAAGTCTTACCCCATGCTCATTGCTTACTCCTCCGCCTGAGGGCAGTTTCCCTGGTGGGGTGTGGGGATGCTGTTTACCCCTTACTGGGAGCAAGTCCCAGGATGCCCTACATGAACCTGACCTTGCAGGGCTGTGCCCACACCTGCCTTCAGCCAGGCTGGGTTCAAATGCCATTTAAGAGCTGTGATCCTCCTTGGCTTTTATCAGGAAAATGGGAATAGACAACCAAGCCAGATCACCATGCATGTTAAAAGGAAAAAAGTATGGGAAGCTCAGGGCCCAGTGAATGGTTATTACGATGGGCTTCTGGGCCTGGAAGAAGAGTCCAGTCTTATGGGAAAGAGAGTAGGGACCCAGTCTTGAACAGAACCAAGAACAGGGGCTTGAGATACATGCATAGTAGGCAAGTTCTGCCTCACCACAGGTTGGTAAGGCCACCTGTCCACCCTTAGAGGAGAAAGAAAGGTGATGGTTAGGCTGGGAGGCAGGTGTCAGGAGCAAGGCAATATTCCCAGGAGTGCAGTTTGATGCATGTGTGTCCAGGCAAGTGATTTTGCCACTCTGAGGCCCCATTTCCTTCCACAGAACAGGAGTAACATGCTCATTTAATCCAAAGACCCATTATTAATATTGCTATCCAGCCTAATACCCTCCAAGGTTACTCATTTCAGCTTTGGAATTTTATCTATCCTCCCCAAGGCCCTGTATGGTCTTCTCTGACCTCATCTTCAACCCTCCTGGTTTACTCCACTCCAGGCACACTGGCTTCTCACTGTTCTTTAACAGGCTGATCTTGTTCTGGCCAGAGGAACTTTGCATGTGCTGTTGTTCCCTTCTGTCCAGAACACGGTTACCTCGGATTTTCTGAGGGTCAGGCTTCTTCAAATCTGGTCTCATTCAAGGTCCACTTTCCCAATCCATTCTCCAAAGCAGCTCATCTCCCCCATCCCATCACTACCACTTTGACCTGTTTTCTTTTTCTGGCACTTAACCACCATCTCCGAATCATGTTTCCTTGTTTATTATCTGTCTGCCTGCTGTGGTCCAAGCTGTCTCCAAGGCCCCGTTCGGAAGTTTACAAATGAATTAACGAACTGTCTGTTCTGCCCACCTTACCTGTGGCCTAGTTTCTCGGCCTGTGTTTTTCCTCGGCTGTTTTGGGGTCTTTCCGCTCCAAGACCAGCCTGACCCTCCGCCCCCGGAACGCACCAGCCGGCCGCCTACCCGCCCCAACTGTGGGGGAGGGAGCCCGCGCGAGGGCGTCAGCTGCGCCTGGTGGCCTGAGCAGCCACCCCGGCAGGACCAGACCTGGCAGTCGCCCCGCTCCCGGCCTGGCACCGGGCAGACAGGAGCCGCCCTTCCTGGGCGGGAGTGAGGGGGACCGCGGCAGCAACGACGCACAGGCTGCAGCTACCCCCCGCTCGGATCAGGTCAGACAGCGTGGGCGCGGTGGGGTCCTGGCGCCAGCCAGAGGGAGGCTCTGGGGTGGCTCCCGGAGCCCAGGAGCGCAGCCCGCCCACCGCGATGCTCTGGACCCAGCCCTGGGGCTTTCCGGGCCCGGGCAGACGCCCGCCTGGGAAAATCCCGGCCCCTTTCCGGGCGCCGCGGCCCTGCCCGGCAGAGCGGGGGAGGGGATTCCCGGAATCTGCCCGGAGACCGCCGTCGCGTCACTGGACAGAATCCGCCCATATATGGACAGCGCTTCCGCTGCGTCAGCTGGGAAAGCCCCAGCGCGCGCGGCGGTACGGGGCCGCGCCTGCGCTCTGCGCGTCTCGCCCCCAGGCATCCTGCCCCAAGGTGCTGGGAGGTAGGGTCGCGTCCCCGCCCTGGACTTTCCAACCCCCGGGATCAGAGGACGCGTGGAGGATTGGACGCTCGAGCTGGGGCTGCGAAGTACCTGGGCAGAACGAGCGAGGGGACACAGATACCGGAGCGAACAACAAACAGCCGTGGAGTGGGGGCAGTCCAGTATTCTCCTCCCTCCGCCCTCCCGGCTTGGAAAAAAAGGACAACAGAAATTAATAAAGAACAATTTTTTTTTTTACTTAAATAGATTCAATAAAAAGTCAGAACAACAAACGCACACACACACAAACACATCTTAAAATAAACTCTTTAGAAGACCAAGTACGTGTTTCTTATCCACAGTATGGTGCAGAGTGGGGAGGGCAGGGGGCGGGGGTTCCCTCCCCAGAGTACCCTCGGGTTTGAGTACCGGGTGGCGGGGCCAGCTCCGCCGCGATCGCCCCCTTCTCCCCTCCCTGTTAAATACACAAATATATTATATTCAATATGAATCGAGTCTGTTTCCAGCAGAAAAAAAAGACATACAAAATACGAGGAAGGGGGCCTTGTAAACGTCGAGGTGGAAGGACTGGGCGCAGAGCGGGCGGGCAGGAGTCCAGTGTGGTTTTCGGCGCCCCTATGCCCCGGGGCGGGTGCCCACCGCCTGCCCCCTCGCCCCTTGGGAGGCGTGCGCCCAGCCGTCCAGGCTGGGGGAATGTCCGTACAGGAGAAGTGCTCAGAAGGCGTGTCCCTTGACCCCGAGCAGCAGCTGGCAGCCGTTGCTGACGTGGGTCATGACCTTCTGTTTGAGCTGGGCCACCTGCTCCCGGAGGAGGCCGGCAGTGCTCGAGAGCCCTGCGTTCTCTGCCTTGAGTGTCTTCACCTTGTCCTCTAGGCGCGCGATGCGCTCCAGCTTCCGCTTCCGGCACTTGGTGGCGGCCAGCCGGTTCCGCAGCCGCTTGCGCTCCACTTTGATGCGCTCCTGGTCTTCCATGTTGATGGGGGACACTGGCGGCGTGGCGTCGCGGCTGCGCGCCTCGGGCACGGTCTGCGGTTCCTCCTTGAAGGTGGAGGCGCCGCGGCCCAAGCCCAGCTGCGCCGGGTGGCCGCCGGCAAAGGGCGGCGCGTGTGGGAGGTAGCTGATGGTGGCCGTCGGGTACGAGCTCCCGGTCCCGACGGCGGCCCCGGCGCCTCCGGAGGGCGCAGAAGCTGGGGAATAGCTGCCGAGGGTGGTGTAGACGGGAGGCGGCTCCGGGCCGGCGTAGACACTTCCAGGCCCAGCCGAGGGTCCCCCGCTGGCACCCAGGGAGACGTTGGGGGGCGTCACGTGGTTCATCTTGTGCAGGTCGTCCAGGGCTTTGACAAAGCCGTCGGCGAAGCCCTCCTGCTCCTCGGTGACACCGCCCCCCGCGGCCCCCGCACCTCCACTGCTGCCACCCCCGCGGGGGTAAAAGTACTGTCCCGGGGGCGTGGGCGTCGTCGTGATCACGCCGTTGCTGTTGGGGACGATCAGGCGCTCCAGCTCTGATGAGGCGAGCTTAAGCGACGCGCCTGTGTCCGAGCCCTGGCCGGAAAAGTAGCTGCCTCCACCACTGCCCTCTGGGCCGGGGCCCCGCGCTCCGGGTCCTTTTAGACCTCGGTAGGGGTCGGCAAGGTTCAGCGCCAGGCTGGGTTTCAGGAGTTTGTAGTCGTGTAGAGAGAGGCCCGGGGCCCGGCCGTATCCCGCTGCTGCGTATGAGTCGTCGTGGTAGAAGGGCTGTTCCATTTTAGTGCACATCCGGGCGGTCCGAGCGGTCTGGGGGGGTCCCTGCGGGGCCGCCCCGGGCCTCGCTGCTGCGATTGGTGCTCTGTCTGCAGCGGTGGCTGGACTGGATGTCTGCACGCGCGGTCCCGAATACTGATAGCGGCCCGAAGAGGCCAGCCGGCCGCGGTGCGCGGAAGGTCTATGCGGCTTCTCGAGACCTTCTGCCCTTCTCTGGCGCGCTAGCTTTCTGGGTGTCGCTACCCCCAGCTCTCTGCTCTCTGCTCCCTGCTGGCTCCGAAGGTGGCCTGCCGCGCTCAAGGTCCCAGCAGCTCAGCCGGAGCCACACGCCTTTATACCGCGATTGTAAGCTGCGGAAGTGCGCTCTGATTGGCCGTCGCGCGAGCCGGGCCCCCGCGCCCCCCTCCTAGAGCGTGGGGAAGGGGAGGAGGCGGCTCGCGTCACTGTCAGGAAGCGCGTGTCCTTGTAAACAGCGGCCACGGGCTGGGTGGCTTGGCGAGGCTGCAGGGGGAGGGGCTCAGGGGACCTCGGGGCGCGCGCGAGGAAGGGGATGCTGGGGCGGTCAGAGGCACACGGGGGAGGGGCTCCAGGGAGGACAATGATACCCCTGGAGTAGGCGATGAGGGACACGAGGAACTAGTACAGAGCAAGTGTGTGTGTGTGTGTGTGTGTGTGTGTGTGTGTGTGTGTACTTGTGTGTGCAGGAGGGGGGTGGTCCCAGGTTATACACAGAAAGGCTTGAGAAACCCAGAGTATCCGAGAGGGATTGGAGGGCTGAGAAGACACTGGAAGACCCCATAAA